AAGGAGAGAACAGACTCCTAAAAGTAGTCTTCTGACTTCTACATGTGCACACACAATAAATAAATACATAAATAAATAAATAATGCAATAAAACCTACCTTCCTATCTTACCTACTTGTTTATAGTCAGGAAATTTAATTTTTAAAAAGTTTTTAAAAGTCTGTTTATTTTCTAAACCTATTTGAAATTTAATCCAACGTGTTGGATGGAAAAGGAAAGCTCACGAGGCCACCTTCCCCCTGACTGATGGGGTAAGCCCAGCCCAGAGACTGAGGCAAGTTGTCAGGTTCCTAGTGCCACCTGAACTGTCCTTTCCTCTTCTCACCTCCTGTTTCTTCTTTTAAGAAATACACACACACACACACACACAACTGCTCAAAAACTTGAATGAGAAATTGAAGGATATCTTTCGTCCCAAGTTGGTTTTGTGACTTTTCTACAGGATTAGGTAGCAACAACCCAACAGCTTCTCTTCAAGACTATTGGAGGGCAGTAGTGAGCAGGGGCCCAGAGAACTTGAAGCACAGAGGACTGCTGAGAACCGGCTTTGGCCTCAGAAGCAGTGCAACCTGATTGGATCCCGCTGGCCCCTGGATGGCCATCGGTCAGCTTTCTCAGGCCAGCACTGGCTTCGGACGTTTTAGAAATGGGCTGCTCTGCTTCCCAGACAGATGGATCCCACCCTCAGCCGCAGGCGTATGCATCCCAAGATAGCTATGGGATGGATGCGACTCAACACTTTTGCGGACCACAGCATCATATCACAATGTCACAGGTACCACAGACCTAGAAGAGGATGGTACCTGGGAGCTGCCGCATTGAGGGTTGCCAGCACCTTTCTGACCTGTGATCCAGAGTCCCCTGACTGTCCTGCTGCTGCTGCTGTCCAGGAAGACCCTGCAGCTGCGCACCCTGGGAGTCAACATAGGCAGAAGTTGGGAGGATGCAGCTTAAACCAGTTACTATAGTGGTAGCTCCTGGTGTTCTTCCCTGGGCAGAATAAGGTGCAAAACAAAGAACTAGTGCTCATCCATGGGAGGAAGAGGTCAGGGACATTGTCAGATATCAGCTGAGAATGATTCTGACACCACAGTAAAGGTGGGAGGTGAGGACGGCTCAGGCCAGACCTGTTAGGCTTGGCTGCAGAAGCCGGATCCCTTCCCTTGTCTCCACCACATGAAAATGAAAAGTGAAGGCCTGAGAGTTGTGCTAGCTCTGTCAGTGTGACAAAACATAACACCTGGCATAACCCGCCAAGGAGAGGCTTGTTTGGCTCACAGCTTTGGAGCTTCTGGTACATGATCAGTTGGCCCCATTGCTTTGGGCCTGTGGCCTGGCAGAACATCATGGCTGAGCCTGTGGTAAGAGGGAAGCTGCTCACTTAATGGGTAATGGGAAGCAAAGAGAGATTGGGAGAGAAAAGTGTCCCACAATCCCTTCAAGGGCCCACCCCAAGTGACTTAACTTCCTCCCGCTAAGCCCCACCTCTTAAAGGCCCTACTGCTTCCCAATAGCCCCATGGTATGTGGTATGAGATCCAAATCCCAGCACTACACCCCCTACACACACACACACACACACACACACACACACACACACACACACATAAAACTACACAGGTTACTCTCTTCTGTGCCTGAGTAAAATGAAGACAATGAAACAGTACCTAGCTCTTAAGCTGTAATGAAGTTTTGGATAGCCCCTGACTATGATTTTTATTTAACAAAAATGTTAGTATCATCTAGTACTAGAGCTGATGGGAGCAAAGCTTTTATAACGGGTGGGGTGGCTGTAATCCCAGCATTTGGGAGATGGAGACAGGCGAACGCAGAGTTCAAGGTCAAGCTAAGCTGCCAAACAAGAACCTCACTAAATAAATAAATAGATCTTTCAATACAATACTTTTCTACCTGTGTATCATAATCCACTCAAACAACTTAGGGACTTCACTCTGAAGAAATTCTTGGGGATGGAAAGGTGGCTCAGCAGTTAAGAGCATGTACTTCTCTTGCTGAAGAACCTGGTTTGGTTCCCAGCATCCATGCCCCGCAGCTCACAACTGCCTATAAATAACTCCTATGCTAGAGGATTCTACACTCTCTTCTGACCTCTGAAAGTATATTTCCCCACCACAACATATACACATAATTAAAAAATAAAATCTTTAAAGAAAATAATCTACAGCCTCTCAAGAAGCCTTTGAATAGTGTGAAAGCTGATTTTCATGACTGGATTTAGAGCCACCAGAGAGATGGAGAGACACTTCTCTAGGCATGTCTGTCATCTGAGTGTGTTGCTTCAGGGCATTTCTGGATTAGCAGAGGGGAAGGTCTACCCTGAATGTGTGCAGCCTCACAGAGGCTGGGAGTTCAGATGAATGAAAGAAGAAAAGGAAAGAACCAATGGAAGTCAGGCTTTCTGCTCTCTCTGCTTCCTATCTGCTGGGATGTGAACAGATGTGCCCCTCCCCCATCCTTTCACCATGATGTTCTGCTCAAATGCATGGGACAAGCCACCACAGACTAAACCCTCTGAAACAATGAGGCAAAATAAATCTTTTCTTCCATAAGTTGTTTCTGTCAGGTATTTTGGTCACAAAAGTTTAGCATTTCTAAAAATCATTAAGGAATATCACACTGGAAAAAACCCTAGGCTCAAAATGATCTCTAGAAAACTGTCCAGGCAATGCAAAATAAAATACATTATTTTATGTGTATGAGTGTTTTGTCTGCATCAATGTAAGTGTATCCATGTTTTGCGATGCCTGCAGAGTCCAGAAGAGGGCATTAGATCCCCTAGAACTGGAGTTACAGATGGTTATTAGCTGCCATGTGGGTGCTGGAAACCAAATCTGGATCTTCTGCAAGAGTATCCAGTGCCCTTATCTACTGAGACATCTCTCCAGTCCTTGAAACACATTCTTTTTCTCATGTACTCTACTAGGTGTAGAAGTTCTTCTTGAAGATAAATTTGGTATGAAGGTTTCCAGAAATCCAATTTCTACACTTTTATAAATTGCTCCATTATTTGATGAAAGGTCATATAATTCATCATAATTGATATATGCTACAACAAAAGTATAAGACTAATGTGACACACTGTATTTTTCCAAAGGTGGCCTAAGATAGTATCTCCTATTGCATTTTTTATTCCTCACATTGAGAAGTAGTGTGTTTGATTGATTGCTAAAGTGCTGAGGAGGGAATCCAGGACCTCACCCATGCCAGCCAAGTGCTCTACCCATGGCAACATTCCCAGGTGGAGAAAGAAGTGTGTTTTGTTTCTCCTCCTATAGGGTGTGGGAGGGCTTGGGCAAGGTGTGTTGTGACTTGCAGGACTAACTTATGCAAAACAGTAGAGCTCTTTGGGAATGTGTGTGCATGGAGCCCTCCACCATGCTGTGAGGGAGAGCAAGCAGCCACTCAGAAGCCACACACACTGCTCCAGCTAGTGGCTGGACATCCTAGCCAATAACCCTCAATCACAGGCTCTACCATTACATAATCCTTCAGATGATTCTACTCCAAGGACAAAACACAGCACCTGCCTACATCCCCAACACTCAAGAACTGAGAACCTGAAAGACATCATTTCTAGCATCATCAACTTCTACATTAAAAGAGTTCCTCTTGGTTTTCTAGTGGGTTGTGTTCTTTAAAAATACTTTATTTATACTATTTTTTATCTTATGTGTATGAGTGTATTGTCTGCACCTGTGTCGTGCAATGCTGTTGGAGGTCAGAAGACAGTGTTGGATCCCCTGGAACTGGAGTTAGAGACAGTTGTTAGCTGCAATGTAGGTGCTGAGAATGTGGGTGCTGGGAATTGAACCTGGGTCCACTTACCACTAAGCCATCTCTCCAGTCCCAGTTCTGTTCTTATTTGTTGTGTTATTTGTTTTTGAGACAAGGTATCACTACGTGTTCCTCAGTGATCTGAAACTTTCTATGTGGACCAGGATAGTCTCAGACTTGTGGCAATCCTCCTGCCTTTACCTCCTGAGTGCTAGGATGACAAGTAAGCACCACCATGCCCATGTGTTTGCTTATTTTAGAGAAATATTTTTTTGTTTTTCTAAGTGTATGCATGTGGCATGCATGTGTGTAAGCATGTTTGCATGTGTGTGTGCACGGTGCATATGCACATGCATACACCTGCACGTAGAGGACTGAAATTGATGCTGGGTATCTTCCTTGATCACCATCTGTTTTATGATGGAGGCGTGGTCTCTCACTGAACTTGGAGCTCACCAATTCTGCCTAGTCTAGCTGGCCAGCATGCCATGGGGATCCCTTGTCTCTACTTCCCAAGTATTGGGGTTCTAAGCAGCCACCTGGCCCGCTTAGGTTTTACATGGGCTCTGGGCATTCAAACCCTGGTCCTCATGCATGTGCAGCAAGTGCTTTATCCACTGAGCCTTCTCCCCAGCCTTAGAACACTCTTCTAAAACTGTTTAGTAGTGGATTTTTAAATGCTTTTATCTGTACTTACATAGAGCCCTAGTAAACATGAATAAAATAGATAAATCTGGCACTCAACTTTAGATGAAGGGGGTCCAGAGAAATGCACTGGCCTGAACCAGCTGTCATGCCCACACTTCACCCTATCCAGTTTCCGAGGTCTCTGAGGAAACAAGTTTGAGAAACTGTGCATACTTCAAGCTCACAGAGGTCTTGGTCAAGTTCAGCAGTCTCTGGTACTGTTCTGATTTTTGATTTCTACACACAGCTGTAAGAGTGATCCAGCACATTTATTTATGTGGATCCCTCCATTCTGCGGATCCCTCCAGTGTTACCCTTTGATGCCCCTCCCCTTGCACAGAAAACCTTAAACGACGCCTTGCACAATACGTTTTTATAGTCCAGCTTTTCCAGACTTGAGTTACTATGTACTGTAAGTCCTGTGTGAGTAGAACAGTGACCTCCCCAGCCCAACCCCCACCCCTGCTTCAGCAGGTAAAGGGTGGCAATCTCCTCTGGCCACCTTCACCAATGAACGAGCTATCTGATCTGGAAGTTGCGCTTCAGGTAATGTGTGTAGTGGGTCAGAAGGAACCTTTGGAAGGTGCTGCTGTAGAAAAGTCTGGATGGAATCAGGTCCAGAAAACTCGCCTGGAACAGAAATGTGAGTATATGAGAGAAAGAACTGGGCAAAGAAATTGCAGCTCAGACAGTCTAGAGTCAGATATTAAGGATTACTTTTTCTGACTACTAAAGTCAAGTCCCTAAATCTATTTAGTTCCAGTGGTTAAAGATCTTGTGATACTTTCTCAACAAGACACCTAAGTTGTCCCTTCAAACGTCCTTGGTCCATCTGGACAGGTTCATCCCTAAGGACATGTTAAATTAAGAGAACTTATTCATGCCCTCTCTGTCCTAATGAGCATTTGTTCTTTCTGGAGCCCCATTTCCCAGGTGCCTTTTGTGCTTTTTTCTACTGAGGTTCTATTGAAGAAAGAAAGAATCAGAAACTCCTCTCCTCACCTGGCACAACGCCTAAGGCACAGTGGGAGCTAAGCAACCATAGAAATGCCTGAATGAGGGAAAGTCATTCATGGAAAAGTATGAATTATCATCAGAGGGCATTCACTCTGTTTTTGTATTTTTATAGTTTTTCCTGAAAACAAACAAACAAACCCTATTTATTAAAATTTCTTTAATGATGTTTGTTCCTTGTATGTGGTGCCCAGTTTCATAGAAGGCGCTTACTCTTCGAAGGTGGAAGCCTAATGAAGATATAAGGCCTGGTTGAATACATTCCAGGCTTCAGGCTCTGGCCTTGGAAGACTTCCCACCTCGAATCCTATCGGGGAGGTCCAGGACCCCACACATCACCACATTGCACACAACACGCATGTTACTCCAACACTCCTCCCTCCATCCACTCCCTTCAGAAGGAAGCTCAACCAGGACCTGGAGCTTCAGGGAAAGTGGTTCCTGTTTCTACGGCAGCCCAAACTCTCGGACTTTAGGCTTTTCTGAAATGTTTCAAGGCAAGAAATGTAAGGTAACTTTCATGAACCAAAACCAAACTCTTCTTCCACTGGCCAAGCCACTGAATCAACACTTCTTCCTCTAGAATTTTCTCCCCATCCTAATGTTTGACCTCACATCAAAAATTAAATGCTGCCATTAGCTTTGTTTTGAAGTAAATGTTTTGATTGCAGAGCTCACCCGTAAGAATAAGTTAAAATTCCAGTACCCCTAAAAATGCTCTAAAAGGTTCCTCTTTCGTCTCTCAGTCTAGAACTTCCTGAGCTGAGAGGACCATGGGGAGGAACCAAGGATGGCTGGAGAATGCAACAGGAGTGGACCTACGTCCAGTTTCATTACACCTGGGTAGCCTTGGCCAGCTGGCTCAGCTCTGAGCTTCAGTTTAAAACTCAACCTCATCAGATTATCAGGTAATGTATATGAAGCCTCCACACATGGCATGGATGCTCTCTGTAGCCTTCCTCAGTCCCCAGACCTCCATGTAGATAGAACACACTCTGTCTCTACCTTATCTCTTTGTCAAGGAAGGTGCATTGTTAACTGGTTGATCCCATGGGCTGCCCATCTCCTTAGACCCAGTGTCTTTCTAAATTCTGGCAAATTCCATAGTGGTTTTCATGATTTGTATTTTCATTACTCTCCTACTTCACCAGACTCAAAAAGCACTTAGCCTGTTCTTGGCATCTACTTGCCTAAAAAGAGAATTCATTATTAAGAAATCAAGAGAGAAAAGTCAAGATGTTCAACTTTGGAAATATAGAACTGGATCATGCAGGAAGTTATGTCACAAAAACCTTCCAGAGGAGACAGATTCTGGTCAAGACATCATTGCCCTGGAGGACTAAGATCTCAGAGTTGTACAAAGGTGAGGGGTCTCATACCCACTGGACATGGCAGGCTCTGGACACAGACAGGCTGTGATGTCTAGAATATGTACCTGGAGTCTGTATCTTTTTCTGCCTGGGGTGTGGAAGGAAGGAAGTGTATGGTCCTTGAGTTGGTCCTGGGCTCCAGGGCACTGAATTATTCTAGGGGCCAAATCACTGAATTAACACTTCTTCCTCTAGAATTTTCTTCCCTATCAGAACATTTTGTCGCACAGCAAAAATCAAATTTTCATTAGCTTTGTCTTGAATTGAATGTTTTGACTTGCAGAGCTCACCCATAAGGAGAACGAGTGAATTGAGGTGGCCTCCAAAGTAAGGTGAAAGAGAGGTTACCCCCTACCAGCACACACAAGGATCCTAGCATGGTGAACAAGGTGCTGAGATTTATCCCCCAGCCTCCTTTGGGCCACATTGGTGCTAACCTGATAAAATGAGAGTTGTGGGTCTCCATGGGTCAGAGTTACACAGACAGCTTGTGGCTGGATGGGGTGTGGTGGGAGTTCCAGGGGGTCTGCAGCCCTGCTGGTGAGGCAGTCCATTGACAAATCAAAGGATTCGAGGATACATCCTGCTCTACTGGGGCACACAAGGCACAGCAAAGTGAGCACTGCCCAGGCATAAGGTGGAGGATGCCAGCCAAAACACCCTGATTGGCACTCTCCCCCAGTGTTAGTTTAGTGAGAGAGGCAGGAGTGTGAGAGATCCCCAGAGATAGAGACATGTGTCTCTACATGACAGACTGGGGGAACATTTTTCAAATGGCCAGTTTTAATTATCCAATTCAAATTAAGTTAAAACTCAGAGGGCTGGTGAGATAGCTCAGCAGATAAAGGCAACCTGCCACCAAGCCGGACAAACTGAGTTCCATCCCCCGGACCACATGGTGGAAGGAGAGAAAAGACACCCACAAGTTGTCCTCTTACCTCCACATCGTGTATGTGTCCACACACATACACACATGCACACAAAATGAATGAATAAAAATGTAATAATTTTTAAAAGAAAAAGTATTATGTATAAACTCTCATTGGCCATTCGATCCATTTTCTAAGGAAATGATGATCTAGAGGAAGATCAAATCAACAGTAGGAAAAACAGAGATCTTTGATTCCTCTGAGCCCACCTTCAGCAGGAGTTAAGCTGGTAATTCCATACCTTACTGAGGAGCCACAGTAAAAATGGCAAATAGTCATACTAAGAAAGTTCAGTATCTCTTGCCAAAGTCTTTGTAAGTTGCATGAGGTAAATGAATGCTTTGGGAGAACTCAGTGCTTCAAATCGTAAATACTTTCATGTCTATGAAAGAAAGAGATGAAGGGAGAGAAGGAAAGAGATAAAGGAGAGAGAGAAAAGGGGGGGAGACAGAAGGGGAGGAGGAGGGAGGGCAGTGAGGAGAAAGGGGGAAGAAGGGGAGAGAAATGGAGTCCCACGATAGGAAGCCTATGTGACAGAGATGGCAATTTGCAAAGAAGACTCATGGTGGGGCTGGAAATAAAGATCCAGAGTGCCTGGCATTTCAGTGCTACTGTGCAATGGTCCATTTCTCCCTTTGTTCGATCTTGTTTTTCAAAGCAGAACGTCTTATGCCATACACCTTTGAACCTTATTTCCATATCTGATGGAAGTCAGGGCGCTCCAGACCTGACAGTGCCTGCTTACAACAGCTGATCACGTGATCACCTTCTCACTTCATGTGCGGTGACATAGTCTCTTGGTAGCTTAGTAGCCACCATGGCAGGAGTATTTGCACCCAGAAAATCAGCAAATGCTACAAATCAAACCGGTCCTTCTTTTTATTCCTTCCTGTTCTGGTTCAGATATGAAATGCCCCCCCCCCCAAAAAAAACATAGAGGCGTGAAAGGTTCAGTTCCCAGCTGGCAGCACTGAGAGAAAGGCTGAATCTGGAAAATGCTGTCCTCACCAATCCATTGAATGAGTTCACATGGCACAGACTATTAGGAGGCCCTGCTTGGGGGTCTGAAGAGTATGTCTTGCCCAGACCCCTCTTTTTCTCCAGCCTGGCTGAGGGGGTGGGGAAGCTTTGTTCCACCCAGTGAGATACTCTAATCCACCTTGAGCCCAAAAGCAAAGGAGGAAGCCAACCATGGGCTAAAACCTGAGTTTTTCTTCCCTGTTTAACTGGAGCTAGAGAGATGGCTCAGCGGTTAAGAGCACTGGCTGCTCTTGCAGAGGACCCTGGTTCAATTCCCAGCACCCACGCGGTGGCTAGCAACTGTCTGTAATTCCAGTTCTGAGGGATCCAGTGCCCTCTTCTAACCTCCAAGGGCATTGTATGACAAGGGTGCATTTACATATTTCAGGCAATATACTCATACACATTAAAAAATAAATAACTAAAATAGTAAAAAAGAAAGGCAAAACTGATTCACACCCCCTAGAGGTCTGATTTACAGAAACACAGAGCCAAAGAAGTAGGTGCCCCAACTGAAGCTCCAAGTATTTGAGTTATTTATGGGTTGAGCACCCAGGCCTCCAGCCCTCCCCTCCTCCTCCCCTCTTTCCCTCCTCCCCTCTCTCCTACCCTCCTCCCCTCTTCACCTGGCTGTACTACAGCTGCACAGCATGCTGGCCCTGTGAGCTTGCCCTGAGAGAAAATGACCCAGTGTCCCACTAGCAAGGAAGAGCGAGCCCTGCCCTGCTGGGATTGTCTGAACAGCCTTCCACCCTCGCTTCACAAGAAGTCACCAATTACCAAGATTTCATGGGCAAGGCAGCCACAGGTTTCATCCCCAATTGTGACATAGTTCAACGACTCTTTAACAAATTCATCGGCAGTCTTGGTTACCATGTTGGTATTTAGGTAGTTTGTCATCGGGGTCGAAATAGCATACGGGGTCAGCACCTACGACATAAAGTAAAGAGTTTGACCCCGAAGCAGTCACCCCAGAGAAGACTGAGGCATCAACACCCATTTCACCATCCATTTCCCAACTCCTTTCCCTCTGTGAAACATTCTGAGCTAACAGATGACAAGACAGAGCTGGCACAAAGCTGGAGAGATGAGACCTTAACCACACATCATGTGATTCAGATGCCCTCCCAGGAGACAGGGCGACTGAGAGACCTGGTATAAAGGTGCAGAACAGCAGTTATAGCTGAACTTCGGGCTTGGGGGTTTAGCTCCGTGGCAGAATGGCCATATGGCATGCCCGAGGGCCAGAGCACATCCCCAGCACACCCAGATGAAGAGAACCCAACCTTGAAGTTCAAACAAAGCTCCCTCAGCATAATTAGATCTTGAGTACTACATGGAATGGATTTCTGCTAGAAAAATCCTTCAGCCAGGCATGTGGTACAGACCTGTAATCCTAGCATTTAGGAGACTGGGGCATGAGGATGGAGAGTTTGAGGCCAGCTGGGCTGCACAGTGGAACTCTGCCTCAACAAAGAAACAAACATACAAAGCTGGCCACATTACTTTGAAAATCAAATTTAATTGCTCGCCCTGTATTAGGTCTGGCAGCGTTAGGGGAATGAGGATGTGTGTGCTTGTTCCAAACACGCATAGCCTAGCTGGAAGCACCCAAGGCCCTCTGGACTCCCGCTCTCACCCTCAAGCTACATGCACACACATAATCTTTCCTGGCGTAAGAAGATAAACCACCTCATAGATGGCACTCTAGGATCCAGCACTGTGCTTCCACCTGTTTCTAAACACACTATGCCTAGTAAGGGATTATAAATGGGTCTCCTGACTTTACTCAACAGATGCAGATACCTTTGCATCTTTAGAAAATAAAAAAACAAAACTGGGAAGATGGCTTATCACCGGTAGGTGCTTGCCACCAAGCGTGATGACCTGAGTTCATTCCCTGACACCCACTTGATAGAAGGAGAAAATTGACTCCTCTGACCTCCACACATGCACCTTGGCACTTGCAGGTTCATACACACACACACACACACACACACACACACATACATATATGCATATACACACAAACATACATATATACACATACACCACACACCATACATACATATATACACTACACACATATACACAACCATACATACACACCACACAAACACACACATAAACACACAAACACAGACACACACACACACACACCATAGCAGCAGAAGGAACCATGGTGACAGCCAGCCTGGTCCTGGTCATGGTCATGGGGAACCCACATCGATTCACCCACGCCATCTCCCAGCAGGCTGCACATGCACATCCTATCCTGCAGGGGGCAATAGCCTACAACCCATACTTCGAGACTGTCTGCTTGGGGAACTCACAACCATCCACCTCACCTGGATAATGATTCCTTTTGCTCTGTATTCCTCCTGCAGGGCCTTGGAAAACGTGCACACAAATGCCTGGAGTGAAAGAAAACACCTTAGCTCCCAGAGTCTGCTCCCCATGCCCCACCTCACTCCTCACCCCCCCACCCTTACAGCCAACTGCAGGGGCACCACAGATGCTTCCTGATTAGAAGAGGGTCAAGGAGTACAGTTTCAGTTAGAGGGGAATAAAAATGTCCTGGCCCTCTACATTACAGCATGGCGACTGCAGTTAATGGCAGTGTATGGTGTACTTGAAAGTTGTCGTGACAGTAGATCTTAAATACACACACACACACACACACACACACACACACACATACACACACACACAGGGATAGGAGAGCTACTTGATCATTTGAAAATGTGTGTGTATATGAGAAGATATCATGCTGTACTAAGTTATATCTCTTCATAAAGCTGGAAGAGGAGAAGAGAAAGCAGTTTGTCTTGAGGAGAAGGCCCGCTTCATTCTTGGCCCTGGGAATAGTGCCCTCACTTAGCCAGGATATACATTTTGGGATGAACACATCCCAAGGACCAGTGCATCCCACTTACTGGAGCGGTGCTCCTTTTAAACAGCATTTTTTCTTGGGCTGCTGCTGTGAAGAAACATGGCAACACCTGGGCCCCCAGGCTGTGGGGCCCAGAGGGTTAGAATCCAGACAGGGCAGCTCCACCCTATCCATACCGATGTCTACCTCCAGGCAACCCTTTCCATCAACTAGCCAGGTGATCCTAAGGTGAAAGGCCAGGAAAACAAGAGGAAGGAGGAAGAGACGGGATGACTGTCTCACTCACCTTGGAAGCTGAGTATAGGGAATACAGAGGCCAGGGACAGAGGGCTACCCCAGAAGAAATGTTCAAGATGAGTCCTTTCCGCCTGAAGGCAAAGAAGCAAAGCCGGTGTTGTGCTGCTGCTCTATCCCACTGGAGCAAAGAGGACAGAGGTCACTGCTCTCAGAACCCACCCCCATGTTTCCATGGCTGCTAAGGGGCTCATTTTACAAGGGCTGGGAGGGAAACTTCCCCCTCACTACACAGTGATGTCACGCCACAGTAATGTGACATTAAGAGCTCATTACAGGAAAGAGGGGCTAGGACAATTGTCTCCCTGCCAAACTACAAAAAGCCAAATTGACTCAGACAAGGAGAAAAAGGGACTCTCCGGTCTCAATGGGACCACATGAGCCCCAGGTGCCTTTGGACAGTGTCATGTGGTGAGATCCGTGCTGGGTGGGTACACTCTCTCTGGCACCACTACTCTCTCCAGGGTTTTAGTTGCTGGTTTTGAAAGTCAGTGGATTTGTTTGTTTGTTTGTTTGTTTGTTTGTTGTTTTATTTGTTTTCATTTTCTGAAATATAGCTATGTTGCCCAGGCTAGCCTCAAACTTACTATGTAACCCAGGCTGGCCTTGAACTCATGGTGATCCTTCCACCTCAGTCTCCTGATTACTGGGAGAAATTCAATTATCTTTCATCCTTCTCAGTTAGATGCCTGGAGTGGGTGGCAAGAGGCTGCAAATTAGAATACAAAGCCACGCCTCCTCTTACTCCAGGGAAATAAAACTATCAACCATTTACTGTTAATGAATGATATGAGAAAAATCATCTGCTAATGAGTGTTCTAATAGAGTGACCCAAACATGAAATTTTGGAGATACTGAGAGGGACAGTGTTCCCAGGGAAACAGAGTATTCCTTCTGACAGAGGATGAAATTCATAACAAGAAGGATATGATCTTGGTCTCAGGCCCACCTGCTTCTTTAATGTTCAACATGAGTTCATTTTCTTTTAAATCCAATGTGTGCTCAACTGGCTGTTCACTTCCTCCCTCTAATACATGTTATCAAATATTCGTGAGCTGGCTAGCCCAGAAATTTCTGTTTCCCCCATAATCTCCATATTCTGCCTTCATAGTTTTAGTCATTGACCAAAACAGCACCTGGGTGAAGCCTAACTCCCCCCACCCCATTGAGTGCCCAAGCAAGGTGGCTGCCAGGGCAGGAAGGCTACAGGGCTCCATGCTGCTTCGATGAAAGGCCTTACCTCAATTCCATGCTTTTGAGAACAAGCTGTGTCATCTATAAGAGAAGTCCAGCATTAACCTTGGCAAAGGAACTCAGTAGCAATGAACAGGGACCTTGGAGGAAGCTGAAGTTTTATCTTCCCAGATGACCTTGAAAATTGCTGGCATGCTCTAGTAATCATTTTGGCAACCTGAGAGTCTGGCTAGAACCCATAGGAAGCAGCCTAGAGAAATGGCAAACTGCCCAGAAGCCTCTGTTGTCTCCCCCATGAAGTCTTCCTGGTCTCTGAGGACACTGGAACAATGTGAGGATTGGCTTACTGAAGTGGGATCTGTACCCGAGTTCTCAAGGTCCTCCCTATTCCAGTGACCAAGGAAAAGCAAGCTGGCCATCACACACCTCAGCCATGAGCTGGAATTGGGAACTAGCAGAAGACCTAACAAGAATCTAGCATCTCTATGTGACTCATATACATCGCTTCAACTAAACCTACACAGTGCAGGTCTGCAAAAGAGGGCAAGAGAGCAAGGACAGCAGTGGTCACAGATGCAATGTGCCCATCAGCCTTTTGCCTAGGGGCTCTGCAGCAGTCCAGGTAGACTCTTGCCACTGCACCCATCCCATAAGCCAGGCCGCTGTGTCAGTCCCAGAGAGCCTCTAGATGATCTTCCTACTGCTGAGAAGAAGGGGGAAGGGGACTATGGGGCAGTCTACCCTTTCTTTCTTTTCTAGAAAGAAATTGCCTCTGAGGGAAGTGAGAGAATGAAGAACTTAGATTGAGCGCTCTCTCTCTCTCTCTCTCTCTCTCTCTCTCTCTCTCTCTCTCTCACACACACACACACACACACACTCCTGCCAGGGGCACCATCTACATCCTCTGGACACACTGGAGCATCCTCAGAGTCTCCCATGTAAGTTCACTAACCCTGAGGGGTTAACGATCCCAATTACACAGACAGTACTGAACATGGTCAGTCTCTGTCCCAAAGTTTCCAATGTCTAGTCTGTGATGGTACATCTTTGCTTTCAGTTTGATAGAATCTGAAATCAATTAGAAGACACATCTATGGGTGTGTCTATGAGAGTGCTTCCAGAAAGGTCTAATTGAGGAGAGAAGACCCACCCTAAATGAGGGTGGCACCATCCATGGGTTGGGGTCCTGGACTGAATAAAAAGGAGAAAGTGAGCTGAGCTCCAGTATTCATTTATCTCTGCTTCCTGAGTGCGGACTCCATGTGACCAGACACCATGCTCCCTCAACCATGCCTTCTTGCAATGATGGACTGTACCCTGTGTCCCAACCATAATGGACTGTTCCCTCAAACCGTGAGCAAACTAATCCCTTCTCTCAAGTTACTTCTACTGGGTTGTGTGTGTGTGTGTGTGTGTGTGTGTGTGTGTGCGTGCATGTGTGTACATGCACACAGAGGCCAGAGGAGGACATCAGGTGTGTTCCTCTATCCCTCTCTACCTTATTCCCTCAAGACAGAGTCGCTCACTGAACTGGAGATTTCTGTCTTTCTGGCTAGGCCAGCAGCTAGCAGGCCCCAGCAGTCCTCCTATCTCTGCTCCCCAGCACAGAGGTTATAGGCATGTGTAACTACACTGGGCTTTTTTATGTGGGTGCTGGGGATCCAAACTTGGATCTCCACGCTTAAGAAGCAAGCACTCTTACCTGCTGAGCCACCTCCCTGTCCCTTTTGTCAGATACTTTGCACAACAGTAAGAGAAGTAACTAATGTAGTCTCCTAGTCTACCTTCCAGCTGCCATCAAACTCTCCCATCTCTGCCCATGACAAGCAAGACTGCCCTATTCCCAGATGGCATCTTTGAAGCCATTAAGAATCGCTAGCCCTGCTTACAGCCAGCCCTGCTGATGAGGGCATGGTAAGTTCAGAAGCTAACCTTTCATTATTTTCTTTGTTACTTAGGGAATTTAGTGTCTATCAATAAATAAAACTTAAAAAAACAAATCAAAGCATTTCTTTGTTAAAGGAATCAAAGGGTTGTCAAATCCATCAGGGGAAACCCAGATGATCAAACAGCCCAAGTTTGAAAGATCAATGTGTAAAATAATGTAAAAAGATTTTAGTGGTAAGGCTGCAGACAACAGTTGGATACATAAAATTTAAAACCACATCAGCTGGGAGCTTTAAAAAGCCACTGATTGCTTAGCATAAAAAGCCTCTTAGTGCTCAGTAATAACCAGGCAGGAAGCAATAACATGCCAGCCTGCTAACAGAAAACAAACGATGGCAAAGTAATTATTTACAGCCCTGCTTAGCCACCTGAAAATGACTGTGTGTTGAGAGGGGATGGATCAGCATCCATCTCGCCTACTGTCCTCCACTGCCATTTCATGTTTCAGACACTGAAACTAAACCCCCACACACACATACACACACTCCCCCCAACAACTTGAAACCAGAATTCCCACCTTACTTCTCTCTGGGGTTCCACTGTTGTTCCAGAGTGATCATCAGGACTGCTATGTACAGTTGTGAACTTTGTGTACTAGGCAAGGGACCCAGCTGTGAGGTGAGTCCAGGCTGAAAGCTCAACACTCAGTAGGTATGTACTGTGGTAGAGGTAAAGAGGCGCTCTCCATTCAGAAGAAAGGTTTTGTTCACTCTAAAGCATCAACTACTTACCACATCACATGATAGCTGGCTGTGTCCATTCCAAAGCAGTGCCTGTTTCTAGACTGTGTCTGGAGGGGATGCCCCTTTCTTCTTCAAGCAAAGGTATAGATGGGCTAGCTTTGAGGGATTGATAGCATAAAGGATTCTGCAGCTGGCCCAAAGCAAAGGACCGGACAGCTCAATGTACAAACAACACTCTTGATGTATGTGTCTGTGTAAGTGTGTCTCTCTCGTGGAGGGGGGGTTGGTATGCGGTTATGCATGTGGACATCAGAGGCCAACCTGAGGCATGAGTCCTCAGGCACCATCTACCTTTTGTTTGAGACAAGATCACTCATTAGCCTGGAACTTTACAGTGTAGGCCAGGCTAGCTGGTTCACAAGCCTCCAGGGATCTGCCTGTCTCCATACCTTGCCTGGCTTTTTTGTGTTCTGTGGAGATCTGATTGGAGGGCCTCATGCATGCAAGGCAAGCATTTTAACTAACTGATCCATCTCTCCAGCCATAGAACACTTTCAGTAACACGTGCAGAACTAGAAGTTCTAGGGGGTTAGGTAACTTTCCTGTGCTATCCAACTAATTTTAAGCTACTGAGCTGGACTGAGAACACAGCCATCCCCACAGGTCCACAGGAGGTGCACTCTAAGTTCCTAGGTAGATATGAAGCCCTACGTCAACATAACCAATGGTAAAGTTTAACTTACAAATTAGACATAAAAAGAGATTAACAACTAATAATAAAATATAACAATTATAATGTACTATAATAAAAGTTATGTGAATATGGTCCCTAGTTTCTCTCAAAATAGAAAATGTTCCAGTTAATTTTCTGGGACCATGGCTGACCACAGGCAATTAAATTAAATGACAGGCAAGGAGAGAGTGCTGTACAGATGAGCTCAAATCAATTCAGCAAATACTGACTATAAAAGCCTAGAAAATCCACTCGATGACAAGAAAGTCATCTTCTCCCACAGAGTGAACTTTCCTTTGTTTGCAAAGACAACATTTTAAGTATATTAATTTTTAAAGGAACGGATTTGAAATCCTAAGGAAGTTTTGGTATCATCAGGCCTGACATGTTCTAAGTATAGATATAGGATTCAGATACTAGAAAGAATAAACCCATCTCCATGTTTCCCTGATGAGAAATGAGTAAGACAGGGAAAAGACCAGACCTAACCTTTGGGTCAAGAGTGGTTTAATTGCCAGGGATGCTCCAGCTACTGTATTTTAATGCATTTAGATCACACGCTCACCACTTACCTTGACTACGGAGGTCATGTTGCAGTGGATGACGCTCTGTAAAAAATAACCACAATCACAAGTCAGTCCAGCCATCAAAGAATTATCTTGGGAAGAAATCAGTGCCAAAGAAGCATGAAGCAGGTAAAAGCCTGTGTCCCCGTGGCTCTGTCCCAGGATCGGCCTGCAATTTGGCTCCTAGCTGAGGCTCAACAAGCATCCACTGGAACTGCAAAGCAGCTGACATCTATTCTATGGTCCTATCCATACATGAGGCTGAACAGAAGTCAAGGAGAGATGCCTTGAAAATGTGGGGAGGAATAGAGTCATAGGGTTTCAAAGGAAGAGACAGATGGCTCCCTATTTCTGATGGAGCAGAAGCAGTGCGTATGTAATAGAAACCATACTTTGGATTTCAAATTTGGAGCTTTTCCAGGACTAGTGGCATGCAGTGTGATTCTCTTCTGCAATGCTGGACCTCAAGGGCATCCCAGTCATCCCCCTGACCCTGATAGTCACATCCATCCTTCTACAGTGTACTATGTACAGAGTTAGGTTGGTCAGGTTTGAGGTATCAAGCACATTTTTTGACTTAGGATATTTTCAACAGAAGATGGGCTTGTAAGGAGGAACTCCATCATTGCAGAGGGGTATCTGTGTTGAATTTTCAGCTGAAGGAAGAAGGGTTAGCACAAGGGGTCTTGGAGAGAGCAGCATGGAGAATAGAAAGGAGATGGAGATCCTGGGCTAGAAGACAGGTAAAGAAGATACAGGTGAGGCAGGCAAGCTGAGGGATAGCATAGAAACAGGATTCTGTTTGGTTTGGGTTATACACCCAGCCTCTCCTAGCAATGACTTTAGCAGCCCGGGACTCCCACCTGAATCAAGCTGCAAGCACACCCTGCTCCAAATAATGAGGTAAATTACTCCTCCGTCATGATTCTTTGGTAACTCAGTTTCCATTCAAGTATGTTCTGAGATATATCTGGAATTGAAAGGTGGAGTGCCAATCTGGCCTAAAGTGGTTAAGGGTGCATCCACAGTAGGGCATGTTCTCTGAGAAAACTTTCAGGGGGAAAAAATCCATTTGCCATCTTATATCTACGCATGATTGGGCATGCATCTAATTAAAATCAGCTACCTCGTGAGAAAACGCATGTGTAGGGAGCAAAGGCTTACATAATCTAAGTTTGTCAATCAAAACAGAGAACTGCCCACACTAGTCCCCTAAGCAACCACTTCCTCATCTTCCTGACCCCATAAAGGAAGTCCCCAAAAGATAACCAACCTCAAGTACTCTAACTCAAGGAGCTGGCTGCTCTCTAGCCAAGTACCTGATCTGTTCTAGCAATTTGCTTCTGATAAAGTTCTTGCCACATTGCAATCTGCGTGTACTTCTTCAGTTCTTTGAACAAGACACCAAGAACCTGGAAACATCTGGTCCAGACAGTGATCTTTTCAGGAACACTAGAATCACCTCACCCAAAGTAAAGAGAGAAGAATAGAGGGAGGCACTTGACACAAGCACACAGAGACATAAACACAGAGAGAGGCATGATAATGGAACTTGCTGAAGGGAGAAGCACAGACTTGAGACGGGGTGTGGGAGACGGAGAACAGCATAAGAGGAGTTGTGGTGGAGCTGAGCAGCAATGTCTCTGTTAGGATTCGGATCTGCAGCAGCCCCCTCCCCAACAGGGCCTCACGGTTTTGCAAGCCCCTGAAAATACAGGAACAGAGTTAATGAGCACCCTAGTCTTTGAAGACAAGATAAGCAGATTCTCTGCACCTTTTGGTCAAAGACATCCTACTTCCCCTTTGATGATCTTGGAAGCAGAACAGGCTCCTGCATTCCAGATCCATTAATGTAGTAACTGTCTTGATACAAGCTATTTCCCCCTGATAAGTTTTGCAATGTATAGACTCCTTACCCCATAACCCAGAGCCTGGCTGATGGAAGGGGGCGGTTTTAACAGAAGCTGTTCTGATAAGCCCTGGACTCCCTCTCTTCGGCCTAACTTTAAAAAAATATATATATATGTTCCTTCCTTCTGCATTCCCTGAAGCCCCCCTGTAGAGACCAACAGCCCACAACCTGTAGATTGACAACTTCCCTAGCCTGAAGGGAATTGTCCCATGTGCTTTTCCTCTGCTAATAAACTCTTTCCTGCCGGAGTTTTATCTGTGTCCTGGTGCTTTCTCCCAATTGACCCAATTCATTTATCAGTCCCAGTGACCTGGTATCCTAGTTATCATTAACCATCAACTTGACACAGCCTAGACTCATCTGAGAAAGGAGTCTCAGTTGAAGGATTTTCCAGGTCAGATTGTCTTGTGAACATGTCTGTGGTGGATTGTCTTGATTGCTCATTGATGCAGGAAGGCCCAGCCCACTGTGGGCAGCACCACCCCTAGGCAGGTAGTCCTGGGCTTTGTAAGAAAACTAGCTGCATGAGTCTGTGAGCAAGCCAGCAAGCAGCATTCCTCCATGGTTTCTGCTTCAAATTCCTGCTTGAGTTCCTGCTCTGACTTTCCTCAGTGGTAGACTGTGACCTGGAAGCATAAACCAAATAAATCCTTTCTTGTAAGTTGCTATGGTTGGTGTTTTATCTCAACAACAGGATGAAATGAGAACACCTGACATCAAAGGCTAAACAGCAGACACAGGACTTAAACTACCACAGGGACACGCGCAGAACTGAGGAGTGGAAGCATAACAGCCTGTCCAGACTAGGGTGACCACAAAACCTCAAAGGTCAGGGTTGTGGGAAAGGTCATTAAACAATGCCATCAAGGACTGCTCAATACATTAAAAAAAAAATCTTCCCCTGCTCAACAATGGCAGCCATGGGTCTGAACTTGCTGAACATCTAGAACCTTCAACCACAGTCTGGGCCATGTGCAGTGAGCCCCGGGTGTTCACAGGTTCCATAGCCTTAGATTCAACTGACCATGGATCAAAAGTCTTCAAAACCACACTTCCCTGAAGAGTTATTGGCAGCTACTAACTGCTGTGGGAGAGGAAGTCATTTTTCTCTAGTGGCATGGCCACTGCTAAATTGCCCTCAATCGCCTACTAATTAACAACTCTGATTAAACTCAGTGGGTCATAAAAAAGGACATGACAGTGTCTTCCAGACATGACAGGACTGCTACACTCATGAACCCATAGCAGCTGTGGTTGCCTGTAGGAGACCTGCCTAAGATCACAGTCAACATTCCAGCATGGAGAGGGAGGGGCTCATGAGTGCCTAGCCTAGGCTGAGAAGCTGTGAGCAGCTGACGGCTTCTGGGGGAAGAAGAGTCTGTTTTCTTAATTCAACATGCTTTTATGTTTAAAGTTCTAGAGAGAATTGGACTGGAGGGAACATACCTCAACATAATTAAAGCCATATATAACAAACCCACAGCCAACATCATTCTAAATGGAAAAAAACTGGAAGCATTCCCATTGAAATCAGGAACCAGACAAGGCTGCCCACTATCACCACTTCTCTTTAACATAGTACTTGAAACTCTTGAAAGAGCAATAAGACAAGAGAAGGAAATTAAAAGAGTAATAATTGGAAAAGAAGAGCTCAAATTATCCCTTTTTGCAGATGATATGATAATATATCTAAGGGACGCCAAAAATTCATAAGAGCACACATATATATATATAACTAAAAGTTACTTGACAAACAGCAAAGCCAGACAGGTGATACCTTCAGTCGAGTTCTTGGCCAAGATGGATAAAGGCTCTTCCAGACAGTAACCCAACATACTACTGGAAACATTAACAGCAGACCCCAATTCTATCCAAAG